TTCGGTAATTGGATCATATCTGGAGCTGTGGATCTCAGATTTAGGTCTATTTTATATGAATGGAAAAGTAATACATAGGCCTACAACTTTCATGTGGAGGTTTGATTTTAAAAATGTTGTTTTTAAGTCCAAATTATAACAACAACAAAGAAATTTGAATCTGCCCTGCAGCCCCAACATTGTTCAGTATTTAACCCATATCTTGAGTTCTATAAGTTAAAATGACCTCATTTGTTTTTTCTTGAAAAGCTGAAACAATTTTCTAGAACTTTTATGGTACAAGTGGTTCCAATTCTGATGTTATCAATAATGTTTTGTTAAGACAAGAAGATAAGGATTGTCATCAAATCAAGATGTGGCCACCCATCCATCAATTATTTATCAAATTAATAGTTTCAAATTTTGACCTATAAAAGGAGGCATTTGCCATGTATTTAGGCATCTTAGTTTCCAGATCAAGATCATGCTCTTGTTTTTTCTCTTTGTATTTTTTTAATGCTTAAGTTTTGCTTTCATTAATATCTTGTTTATGTCTTTCATTTCTTTTCCTTTACTTAGTTAACTTTTATCTTATTTATGTTTTTATGTTGTTTTTTTATGTTTTTTTTCATTATGTTTAACTAAGTTTATTATATCAAGGTAAAAAGGTTACACTAATGGTGTAATAATAAGTATATTGTAAACTTAATATGGATTTTAATGTTTGATACTAACATGTTTTGTATTTTTTATCTTGTTCACTCTTTAATACTTTGCTTGTTAAATGACTAATCTAGATTTATATTGTATAAAACTTGGTACAACAAATACTTGGCACTTTCATAGCCTAACCGTATGGTATAACTGACACTTCTGCTATGAAAGAAACTTGATTTGTTATTAACATAAGTAATAATCATGAATGTCTGACAACATTTACAAGTATTAACATTATTTGAATAAGATAATTAATGTAATCATATTAATCATCTATAATCCGATTGAAACTTTCTTTATGTGCGGTTTCCAATTGAATAATAAAAAGAATTTATACTATATTTGTTTGAAATACCATTAGTAGATCCTCTAACCTTGACATTTATTTTTATCATTGTTTGATCCTCACATTGATCTTCTATATCAAAATTCTTATCAACTTCTTTATTATTATTATTAGTACTACTATTACTACTATTGTTATTATTATTGTTATTGTTATATTATTGTTGTTTATAATTTATATAATTAACATCTATGTGATTCGACCCTAATCTTGCCGAGTTATTTATTATTTCGACACTCCTACATTTAAGAGAAGACATTAATCTTTTGGTCATGTCAGTGTGCACGACATCAAATAACAAATCTTCCTCCTAGACTAAAAGGGTTTGAGATTAATAATTAAATGGATTAATAATAAAATTATAATTTTGAAAGAGTCACACCTAATACTATGGTCACTAGAAAACCTAATATTTTGCGAGAGTCTAGGTAAAGAGATTAGTTGTACATGAAAAAGATGCATCACCCTTGGTGCATCCTTCCTATAGTAAGCTGCATTGTTGATCAATCCTTTTTATAGGTTAGGTTTTTATTTGTTGGTCTCAGGTGAGATGCAAGACATATCTTCTATTTGTTTCTATTTTACATTCTCTAGTTAAATCATGACCGTTCTAGAATCTAAATTTTAGCATCATATTTATTTTTTATTTATATCTTTAATATTGAGAATATACTTTATAGTATAATTTTATTTCCTTAAATAATAAAGTCTACAACTAATTCATAACGTATATGGCTATTAACTCATTTAATTTAATATCCAGAGTACATATTATGTAGTAAAATTCATATGCTGAATATTAATTAAATAAATTAATTTTTGTGATATTTTTAAAATCTTAACCAAATCCTAATGGATAATCACAAATTAATTATAATATTCATTTTGTATTTTTAAAACATGATAAAAATATACTTTTTAAAGAAAATATATGTAAAAAAAATTTAGAATTTGGTTGTATGCACTTAAACAAGAAAATATTTTTTGTATTTTTAAAATAAGGAATCTTCTGATTTTTTTTAAATTTAAGAGAAAAACTAGGTATTTTTAATATCTTTTCAATATCTTATAATTTAAGTTTACAACCCTATATTAAGTGAATGTTTTTTTTAAAAAAGACATGTTTTTGTATTTTTGAAATAAGTAAATCTTTTCTTAATCTTTCATTTATTTTTTTTGAAATTTTTGAGAAAAACTAGATATTTTTAATATTAAGGTTAATATCTTAAAATGAAAGTCCATAACATGATATTTAGGTAAAATTATTGGAAAAATAAATAAGGAACCCACAAGTAACTTAAAATTAGTCCCTAAATTTTTTCAAAATCTTATGAGCTAGCTTATTGCTGGTTTGGATATACATTAAAATAAGAACAAACTAAAGTTAAAGGAAAAGGCAATAAGGCATATTTGTCAAACAAACATTTAGAATAAAAATTAAAGGCATTAAAAATGCCTTAAGACAGTGTTTGACAAACACACTTTAAAGATAAAAACATGACATTTTTTCTTGAGAAAAAAATGAGTTGTGCCAAGTGTTGTAACCCAATTTTGGATTCACTAAGATTTTCGAATGTTATTTTATTTGATTATTCATAACAAAAAAAACAAAAAAAAGTAAAAATAAAAAAAAGAGTTTAAAATATATTTTTCTTGAGTCAACCGCATCTTTCGATCAAAATCGAGTCCACCAGGTCAATACGGGTTAAACGATGTCGATCGGGATCAAAAATGAGTTTTGGGCCGTTTCGGGTCAAAACCGTCATTTTCGGTCAAAACCGAGTCCACTAAGTCAATATGGGTCCCACCATGTCAACCGGGATAAAAAATGAGTTTCAGGCTATTTTTGGTCAAAACTGTTATTTTTGGTGAAAAAACCGGTCCACCGAGTTGATACCCATATAAAGATTTTTTTTGGTAATTAAAATTGATTTTTAGCAGTTGAAAAGCTTTTTATAATACTGATTTGAGTTTTTAATTTTACCCCTATAAATAAATATTATTATTATATATAATAAAACAAAAAAATAATATAATTTTGTCAAAGTAAATAGAGGATTTCTACCGATAGTAGGCGGTACAGCTGTACATTGAAAATTTTACACAATTCATGATTACTTGCAAAATTCGTGATTCCTTGTCCCCTATCATTGGCTATAAAAAGCCAATGAAACCAAGTCAATCGGGAAAAAAAAGAAAGGAAAAAAAGAAAAGAAAAGTAATCTGAATCGAGAGCTTACTATTTGTGTTACTATTTGTCATTGTTCACCTTATTTTCTACTTTTTCATCACGCGAGTAAGATATTGATTTTTTTAAAAAAAAATTTTGAAAAATACCAAAAATATCCTAACCGTTAGATCTAATAGTATTTAAAGCTGAGCCTTTGATTTTTTAGGATACTGGTTTTACCATATCGGATTAAAACCCAAATCCATCTCAGCCTTTAAAATAATCTGTCATTCGATCCTGTTGCGCCATGTCATCAGGTGTACTAAACACTCGGTACACCGCACCATACCGGAATAAAGATCAGACTATCTGGACCGTCCGATCAACTTGCAGATCAAGCCAATCACAACCGCACAATCCGTTCATCCGCAATCGAACGGTTCACAGGCTTCAGACGCACCGGTGCACCATGCGCGCGTTCGCACCGTAGTACAATCTTAGAGCCCCTTTCTCCTCTCGCCGACGATTCTCTCTCTCTCCTCCGATCTTCCATTTCTGGCTGTTTCAAACCAAACAAACACCACAGAAAGATGCATCGTCCCCTCCGAAGCAAAACCCTGGCAGGTTTACGCGGTTTCACCGCCGAATCTGGCTGGA